GTAATGTTGTGATAATGCGCTATACAAAAATAAATTTGTTGTTGTTGTTGTTGTCTCAGAGTAAAACAAAGAAACAATAAAAGCTTAACAAGGCAGTGAATAGCCTGCACTTGGCCCACATGCAGGCATTTTTTCACATTAACTTACAGAACAAGAGTGTTAAATAAAATGCAATGCTTCAGAAAATAAATAGTTATTATAGATGTGGTCAGAAATTTAGGAGAGTATGTTTGTAGAATTGTCAATATATTTCACAAGGCAAATTCAAACATATATGCTGTTTGTGTCCTTGAATCATAAAGTACAAAAATAATAAGTTAAATAAGAAGATAAAACTGATGATATAAAACAGAAATGATTAACTCCATTTTCCTCAAATTTACCTAGGTGTGTTCCTTACCCTCTTCTACCATAAGGGAGCACTCTGAATAGGGGCACTGTCTCAAACACCATCAACATTCCCCATGGACTCTGCTCAGCGGACCCTAATGTTAATACAGTGGTACCTCAGAACTCGAATTTAATCCGTTCAGAACTCCAGATCGAATCCTAAAAAGTTTGAGTTGTGATAGAATTTTCCCCATAAGAAATAATGGAAAACCAATGAATTGGTACCCGGCCCCAAAAAATTACACCTAAATATGTTTTTTTTTAGCATTTAAACACAAAGTGAACCGGATAAAACAAGAAGAGCATATACTGTACTAAACACATCTAAGCACATTTATCAAAACAGTAATGTGTAAAGTAAGAAAATAAATGTATCCAAACAATGCGTCCTGCCCCGATCGTCCACTCCTTCCGTGTGCCACAAGTTATCTTAGGTCGGCGTTCACAGTTTGACTTCTGAGATTCAGATCGAGCTCTAGGTAATTTTTTTTTGAACTGGTTGGTTCGACTTTTAAGAAATTCGAGTTCTAATAAGTTTGAGAACTGAGGTACCACTGTAGTTCCACAACAGCTTTCCCTTCCCTGGACAGGCAGCCCTCAAAAGACCTTTGAAGGAGCCGGATAGCAAATATAAACAGTCCAAAATACCCAGAAGACAGGGTAAAAATGTCCTCATACACTCCAGCTGTCTTGACACAACAGTGTCAACAAGCTGCCTGTAACAAAGACAGTGATCCAGGCAATGGATGAAATAGTTCACATTATATTCAGCTTAAGGTTCTTGAATGACTCCTTGTTTTATATTAGATAACTGAAATGGTACTTGGAGAGCATGTGGTTACATTATGCACTAAAAGCTTAATAATCTATTATTCAGGGTTGTAGTTAGACTCGAATCCTGTCTCAAGACATTTTTATATTATTTTGGTCTCCTTGGTATTTGCCCTTGGACTGGTTCTGGGCTTGTCTTGGACTTGACAAAGGTGGTCTTGACTACAGCTCTGTTATTTTTGAAGTACAGCAGATATCACAGGTGTTTTGCATGTTTGTGGACTTGCACTTGATGAGTGCAAGAGCCTAAAGATCAGAGTTAGAATTTACAAGTACACACATCCATGCTTTATACAGTAAATGCAGTAATAATGAGACAGGTTCAGAAGACTACACAGCAAACTGAAACAGAATGTGTACAAATCATAGCCTCATATGCCTGTGAATCATTATACAGTATATAACAAATGTTTAAAAAATGGAGAGTACAACAGGCTAGGCTAAGAGCATTGAAAACTGCTAGGGAATTTTGGGTAGTCCTGTAGCTGTGAGCTGTGATCTCAAGGGAGCAACCTTGAAGATCCACTTGACCTGCACCATAGAGTAAAAGGGTTGGCTAGTTGTGGGCACAGATGGGATGTGGTTCTCCACCAAGCTTTTCTGTATGCTTGCTATGTTGTCCTTTGAGAGATGGACCTTGAGGTACAGCAGGGCGCAGACATGCTCTTCCCTGGGAGAGGGAACATGATTATCAAACCACATGGATTATGATGAAGGTCATGCCAGTAGTGATACTTAATACTGGAGGCTTTAAGGGGTCCTACTATATCATAAATTTGCAGTTCATAATTTTATTTTTGGGCTCTACTGCAATAGATTTACGTGCTTCAGTGTTCCAACAACATAATATTTTTCTCAGACTGTACATCAATATTTATTCTGTCTATAATTCTATCTGAGCCTTAAGCGCCACCCCCGATGAGTCCAGTATGCTCTGATTGGTCAGCTTGCCTGACTATTCAGCTTGCCCTACATGTTCCACGCCTGTCTTGCAGTTTGCAGATGGACCTTTGCAGATAGGCAGCCAATAAGGTCTGTGTTACTGTGAGCCAATAAGGTGACATGTCACAGAATCTAAGGGCTGGAATTCCAACAAGGTGTTTCAGGCAGATTAGAGAACAGTGGTTTCTGTGGTGAGAGTTACACCTTTTGGCATCTACTTTAGGCCATAAGACTTTGCAGATTGCTTCATAGCACACTAAAGGAAAGGGAAAAACTGAAAAAACGTAATAGTACAAGAGATTAATGCAGTCTATTATTTGCTATATGCTTGCCAGGACTATTCACTAGCTCATTTTCTGTATAATCCTCAGAGACAGGAATGTCAAGGAGCATATTTGGCTCCAAATCAGGGGCAGAGTATTGTGACTGTGGTCTGGTTGTCTCTGAGATGTGCTATCCCACAGGCCCTCACCTGATGTCTGGATATTTCTGAGCCAGTGAGAGAACCTCCAGCTTAATGGCCTCTGGGTCTTGCAGCTTCAGAACTTCAGCAATTCCGGGGAGAACAGAACTCAGCCACTCCTCCTTGGAGCCCTGGATAAAAAATAAGAGTCAGAGGGCTATGGAAGTTTTATTGGACTTTTTTTTTTATTATTTGTAACCCACAGAAAACAATCCACAAATACAGTATGTACCATGCTGCACAAATATTTCACTGACCAAAAATATGTACAGTGGTACCTCAGTACTCGAACTCATTAGAACTCCAATTTCTTAAAAGTCGAACCAACCAATTCGAAAAAAATTACCTAGAGCTCGATCTGAATCTCAGAAGTCAAACTGTGAAAGCCGACCTAAGATAACTTGTGCGCCGGGAAATTAGTCACACGGCACGTCTCTCAGCGGAAACAAAGGGTAACGCTTCAGTCTCAGCCTCGCATTCGTTGTGACAAAAATACATTTAGACAATGATAGACAGTAACAGTAATTATTATTATATAATAAAATACATTTTTAAATAAAGATTTCTTATTCATTATTTTAATATTAATAATAAACCATTACTACGTTTAATTATTATAATGTTGTGCCCAGCGGGGATCGAACAGAGGCGCAGATGTCAGGGTATCGGGGAATACGGGGTTTAATTACAGGTAAGGCAGGCAAAACGCAGACAGACAATACAATGACCAGACTGGGGAAACAAACTGAAACGCGGATGAAATACAGAGGGCTAATGAAAACAACTAGAAACAGCTGATCACACGGGGATTCCACATTAACGTGGGGGCGTGGCACACGGAAGGAACGGACGATCGGGGCAGGACACATTGTTTGGATACATTTATTTTCTTACTTTACAAATTACTGTTTTGATAAATGTGCTTATACTGTATGTGTTTAGGACAGTATATGCTCTTCTTGTTTTATCCGGTTCATTTCGTGTTTAAATGCTAAAAAAACATTCCATTATTTCTTATGGGGAAAATTCGATCACAACTCGAACTTTTTAGGATTCGATCCGGAGTTCTGAACGGATTAAATTCGAGTTCTGAGGTACCCCTGTATTTCTTTTGTGTTGTTTGAAATCCACAAAAATAAGGAGCAATTTGTACATATGAAACGTGTTTTGCACATTTGTAGATCACTTCCCGTCTATTTGTGGATCATAGATTCTAGGAGGTCTGGATGCTGTTCAGCCAAATGGCTATTTCAATTAGTTTAAATACTAGAACTCATGGCCACAAGTGGAAATTAGTAGGAGAACATTTTAAAATGAATTTGAGAAAGCACTTATTTACACAGCGTGTAGTTAGAGTATGGAATAGTCTTCCTGTTAGTGTAGCGCAAGCTAAAACCCTGGGTTCCTTTAAATCAGAGCTGGATAAGATTTTAACAACTCTGAGCTATTAGTTAAGTTCTCCCAAAACGAACTTGATGGGCCAAATGGTCTCTCGTTTGTAAATTTCTTATGTTCTTATGTTACATAAGAACATAAGAACTATACAAACGAGAGGAGGCCATTCGGCCCATCGAGCTCGCTTGGGGAGAACTTAACTAATAGGTCAGTTGTTAAAATCTTATCTAGCTCTGATTTAAAGGAACCCAAGGATTCCTTTAAATGTGGGTTACATGTATTACTTATCTCCTGTTTATTTGCAGATTTTTGTCCAATGTATATCACAGCTGATCGGTAGAAAAAAATCCACAAATATGAGGTGCAGTTACCAGCTACACCAGCAGGTGCCACAAAAAGATTTATTGACAAAATCAAGCAAAGCCTTGCTGGATTTTGTCTCAGCAAAAGACTAAATATTTTTTGTGACTCCACAAAAGCTTCTTGTGCATGAAAAAGTTCATTTCCTTGGCTATTTCAGGTATTTCTGAGCTATTTCTATGGTTCACCGGCAATGCTCGCCTATAAGCAGAAACAATTTTTCAAGAATGTGAGCACATTTACTCCTCTTCTGATCCCTCCTGGTGACAGCCCACCAGTACTGCCAGCCAGAATACAGAGCAGCACAGGATCTGCAGAAATAGGCGGTCTACCAATGGCTGTGGGGGGTGGGCACTAACACTAACCTCCTGGCTGAACAGGTCATTCAGGGCATGGCTGTCCTCACACAGTCTCTCCACCAGTCTGTCCTCTTCTTCTCGTGACTTCAGCCTCAGCTTCCTCTTCATTAGCTTCCTCACGTACTCCACCATCATCTGCAGGTGCAGGTGTGCTACCAGCGCCTTACGGCACACACATATGTAATGAGTAACACAGTACCACAAAGTCACTGATATGCCATCCGTGTAATAATGTCCCTGGAGCGTACAGATCAGGCATGGAAAGGCTATCGGGCCCATTGCATTTGGCCAAATTAATTTGGCAGAACATAGTCTCTAACAAATTGCACTATATGTGTCACACTACACAGCACAGAAGCGCAGAAGCGCAGGAAGCCAGTAGTCAGGGCGAACATGGAGTTTAATAGGTACAGCAACGATAGGGACAGGCAAGACACGGGGTAACATTACACGCAACAATACAATGACCGGACTGGGGAAACAAACAGAAACGCGGACTAAATACAATGAACTAATGACAACAATCAGGAACAGTTGGTAAACACGGGGAATCCATACAGGGTTAACAAGGGTTCGTGGCACACAGGAGGAGCGGACGATCGGGTCATGACAATATGTACACTGAACTTCTTAATTATAACCACAGTCAGTTTTGCTACAGCTTCTGGACATGATATTCACACCGTGAATATGTCCTAACATGATTAGTACCCAAGTCCAATGGAAAGTGGAATCGCATTTTTATTCGCATGATTTTTAATCGGAGCGAAAAGCACTTCTCTAAGTACAACGCCATATACTCTTAGCGAGATATACAACTTGTGCACAAAAACAACTATCCAAGTGAACAAATCATTCTTTTAAATCGGTTCTTTACAATGAATTGACTTAACTGATTGTCATATCTAAAAGAATCATACCTTTTGTACATCCACATATTGCACAGGTCAAAATATTAGATTCTTAAAATTAAAAAATATTTGACAAATTATAATATAAAAATACAGCAGCATTTTGTAAATTTACTTAAATTTGCTTTTCGTAGACTGTCTGTAGACATGTTGCCTTCAGTGTCCCTCCATATACTGTTATCCATCGTGCTTGTGGTGTGTTCATGCCCAGTGGCAAGGTGGCCATGGCTCACTACACCCAACTAATGATGACCAAAATGGTTAGAGTTTTGGCACGTTTGACTGAAGCGGTCACTAAGCAATTCTCGTGAGACTAATAAGACATAGGAGATGTTTATCACATAATTAGTTAATGTGTTATTATTTCTTATTTAAAATGCATTTAGTTACATTATTTCTGTCACGACGCGTAAAAGACGGACCAGGGAAGCAGGCGAACGAAAGTAGGAATGGGGTTAAATAAAAAGATTTAATTGGAGAACGCAAGGGCATAAGGGAAAAACAACACGGAACAATACAACGCATGACACTGCACTGACAGAACTCGGGAAACAAACTCTGACGTGGACTTAAATACATCGAACTAATACAGACAATTGAAAACAGCCGTGAAACACTGGGAATCGACATGAGGTTAACGAGGGGGGCGTGGCACAGAAGGATCAGCACGATCGGGGTGTGACAATTTGCCTCTGGTATCACTGTTTTTATTATTTAATTCATTTTCTTTGACGTAAGTTGCTAAGTTTTGAAGTCGCATTCCCTAACCCTAATGTTCCCATTGGATATGTGTATTTTAGTAAGTGATTTTAGTGAACATGTGGTTTTTCATGATCACATTAGTCACATTATAGTAGAACTACTGTACTATACTTGTTCACACTGGCAGCGACATCTAGTGTTGAAACTAACTTGTACCTCAGTTGATTAAACATGGCATAACCGAGAAGATGGAAAAAAGCAAGGGAGTTCTGAAAATTTCAAACACCATCGCAAAATGAATAATTTTCATCATAATCATTAAGTTGGATACTTGGACCCTGCAGTGTATTCACTAAGAGCTATGCAGGAATGTTGGAGACTGCCTTGTCGCTTTCATCATCTTTTCTACTGTTTCTGTTTTGCACCCAGCCTATTCTGCACTTTTTTGAATGAGAGTTTTAAAGAGTTTTATTGCATTCATTTAAATTAAAGATACAGAAATGTCTACTATAATATGCATACTACATTATTAGGCTACTGTAATGTCAACAGTTAAACTATTCAGTAGCGTTATATGGTTATTTTGATAGAAAATTATTTTTCAATGGCACAGGGGTTTTCTGGTCTAAGAACAGTTTTTCACACTTAATATTGTTTGGCCCCTGACTACTTGAAATTTTCTGTGTGTGGCCCACAACCAAAAAAGTTTGGCCACCCTTAATCTAGATCATTCTTCTATAGGGAATCAGACCTGCAGGCAGCTGGGCCTCATGTCCTTGTGGGCTTCCACATTTTCCCTAATCTTCATCAGCAGCTCCGTCATCACGCTGCCGTCACTCAGCCATGATGCTGTCCCCAGCTGATTATAATGTGGCTGTGGGAATATGAAGGCACATGTGGGCTTCAGGTCAAGTTCCACGACTGTCTGCTTATTCACCATACCCTGACTCGTGAATACCAGGAAGCACTGACACCAGACGGTGGATTTTTAGGTGCCTGAATGCTTCACAGGACAATAAGGTGCCCCAAGTACTTTGCCCACTACAGACCCCTTATTAAAACCATAGCTATGAGCTACAAAGCCTAGGAAATTTATAATAACAATAATCCATCCATTTTCTTAAACCGCTTATCCTGTTCAGGGTTACAGGGGCAGACAGCCTTAGCCAGAGTGACTTGCATAAATGCTTAGAAGTCTCCATCAGTGAATATAACAACAACTGATCTGAACAGTTTCTGCAAGTTTTGTTGCTTTTCATCATTCTGTGTTGTAATATTTTCCTTTTTCAAAACCAGTTTGGTTTTGTGTATTTTTTCCAGCACACCGATCTGCAAGCATGGAAGGTGCACCCTTTGTAAGCAGACCTGACTCACAGGTGAGCTTAGAGCTTAATCACAGAGCATGGACTGGAGAGCCAACAGTGGGTGGCATCTTCCTGGTTCACTAACAAAACATGCTTCCTTCCAGGATGTCTGCTGACGTTTATTTTGTAACCCGTTTTCCAGAAATGAGTTTCAGTGTGACTGTGACATAATTATAGGGCAAAAACTATAACATATAATCGCAGCTAAAAAAAATGGCACTAAAATAAACTTCCTAAAAAAACACTGTCCTTGCTATGGTGAACTAAATTATATGTAGTTTACTCATCATTATACACACAGAAGCCAGTGCTGATCCTCAGCGAGTTTGGGTTTATGTTTCATTCTGGGTAACTCAACAAACTTCATCCACCTATCTCCTGAAACCACTTCTCCTATTCAAGGTCATGGGGGGGGGTCCAGAGCCTATGCCAGATGCTATAGGTATAAGGCAGGGAACAACTCAGAATGGGGTGCAAATGCATTGCAGGGCACACTCACACACCATTCACTCACACATGCACACCTATGGGCAATTTGCTTACACCAGTTAGCCTCAGCATGCTTTTGGACTGTGGGGGGAAACCAGAGTACCCAGAGGAAAACACAACAATATGGGTAGAACATGCAAACTCAATACATATGAAGCCATGGCAGAGTCCCAGAAGTGTGAGGAAATACCGATATATACATAAATATATGTATATATACACACAAACACACACACACACACAGAGCTCACAGAAAGTCCTGGGAAGCTTGCTTAATTCAGTCAAAATACTGCAAATTTGGTTTTACAACAAAAATAAAAAAAAACAAGGCTCTTTTTTGGCACTTAAAAATGGAAGTAGCTCATCAATAATTAAAAAAAAACTGTTATAACTTGTTTATAATTGTCTACTAATGATTTACAAATCTGATTATAAACAACAGTGATAAACAGTAACAGTAATTATTATTATATAATAAAATACATTTTAAAATAAAGATTTCTTATTCATTATTTTAATATTAATAATAGACCATTAAAACCTTTAATTATAATAATATTGTCGAGCCGAGCGGGGATGGAATGGAGACTAAGGCGCAGACATCAGGGTATCAGGGAATACGGGGTTTAATTACAAGTAAAGCAGGCAAAACGCAGACGGACAATACAATGACCGTACTGGAGAAACAAACCTAAACGCGGACGAAATACGGAGGGCTAATGAAAACAACCAGAAACATCGAGTCTGTATGGGCCATGTTCCGCGCCTCCATTGTGGAGGCGGCTGACTGGAGCTGTGGCCATAAGGTGGTCGGTGCTTGTTGCGGCAGCAATCCCCGAACCTGCTGGTGGACACTGGCGGTGAGGGATGCCGTCAAGCTGAAGAAGGAGTCCTATCGGGCCTTTTTGGCCTGTGGGACTCCGGAAGCAGCTGATGAGTACCGGTGGGCCAAGCGGAACGCGGTTTCGGTGGTCGCTGAGGCAAAAACTCGGGTATGGGAGGAGTTTGGAAAGGACAAGGAGAATGACTTCCGGATGGCTTTGAGGAGATTCTGGTCCACCATCTGGTGTCTCAGGGCAGGAAAGCGTTGCAGCATCAACACTGTTTATGGTGGGGATGGTGCACTGCTGACCTCAGCTCGGGACGTTGTGGGTCGGTGGAAGGAATACTTTGAAGACCTCCTCAATCCCACCGACACGCCTTCCAATGAGGAAGCAGAGTCTGGGGACTTAGGGGTGGACTCGCCTATCTCTGGGGCAGAGGTTGCTGAGGTGGTTAAAAAGCTCCTTGGTGGCCGGGCCCCGGGGGTGGATGAGATCCGCCCAGAGTTCCTCAAAGCTCTGGATGTTGCAGGGCTGTTTTGGTTGACACACATCTGCAGCATCACTTGGACATCGGAGGCGGTGCCTCTGGATTGGCAGACCGGGGTGGTGGTTCCCATCTTCAAGAAAGGGGACCGGAGGGTGTGTTCCAACTATAGAGGGACCACAATCCTCAGCCTCCCTGGTAAGATCTATTCGGGGGTGTTGGAGAGGAGGGTCTGTCGGATAGTCGAACCTTGGATTCAGGAGGAGCAGTGTGGTTTTCGCCCTGGCCGTGGAACAGTGAACCAGCTCTATACTCTCGGCAGGGTCCTGGAGGGTGCGTGGGAGTTTGCCCAAACAGTCTACATGTGCTTTGTGGACTTGGAGAAGGCATTTGACCGTGTCCCTCGGGGAGTCCTGTGGGGAGTGCTCCGGGAATATGGGGTGCCGGACTGCCTTATAAGGGCTGTTCGGTCCCTGTACAACCGGTGTCAGAGCTTGGTCCGCATTGCCAGAAGTAAGTCGGACTCGTTCCCAGGGAGGGTTGGACTCCGCCAGGACTGCCCTTTATCACCAATTCTGTTCATAACCTTTATGGACAGAATTTCTAGGCACGGCCAGGGTGTTGAGGGTGTCCGGTTTGGTGACTTCAGGATTAGGTCTCTGCTTTTTGCAGATGATGTGGTTCTGTTGGCCTCATCAGACCGTGACCTTCGGCTCTCACAGTTCGCAGCCGAGTGTGAAGTGGCTGGAATGAAAATCAGCACCTCCAAATCCGAGACCATGGTCCTCAGCCGGAAAAGGGTGGAGTGCTCTCTCCGGGTCGGGGAGGAGGTCCTTCCCCAAGTGGAGGAGTTTAAATATCTCGGGGTCTTGTTCACGAGTGAGGGAAGGATGGAGCAGGAGATCAACAGGCAGATCTGTGCGGCGTCAGCAGTGATGCGGGCGCTGCATCGGTCTGTCATGGTGAAGAAGGAGCTGAGCCAATAGGCAAAGCTCTCGATTTACCAGTCGGTCTACGTTCCTACCCTCACCTATGGTCACAAGCTGTGGGAAGTGACTGAAAGAATGAGATTGCAAGTGCAAGTGGCCGAAATGAGTTTTCTCCGCAGGGTGGCTGGGCTCTCCCTTAGAGATAGGGTGAGGAGCTCGGTCATTC